GGGAAGGAGAAGATGACGTGGTCCTAAATCAGATAAAGATATCTATCATGATGGTTTAGATCATCAACACCTATAAAAATTGAAGAATAAGAAGAATGGCAAGAATGAGATCATGGGGTGAATTCCTCAACATCACCATAGCTTTGAGAGTGTTTTGGGGAATCAAATAAAGACACGGTGAAGTTAGGGTGGAAAAAATAATAATGAGCATAAAATTAATATAAAAGATAAAAAAAGAGTGCTCAATAGGGAAACAAGAAACTAGAACGCAACAAAGAAAAACAAATTATATATTAAAGTGAACAGAAAATATTCACTATACGCTATTTATGTAAGATGTTTGCATAATGATTAAGCTAATTAAATCACTTGGAAATGCCAATATATTATCTTTGGGGTAATTGAATTAGTAGAGTTTAATGAGTATTTCTCATTTACAATTCGAAACCAAATTTGCAATATGTGTCCTTATTTTATTTTATGGTGTAATAATGACATTATTTTTATGGTGAATTTTTTCTAGTGTAGTCATTTTTGAACGATATAAATAAAAGGAGTTATGAATAATTTGCATAATAAAAATATAAATTATTAATTTAATTATATAAAGAAAAAGACACAAATATAATTAAATAAATCTAAACATAATAAATATAATTAAACTTAAAATAAATAATAATCATAGAAACTTAACTGTATTATATATATATATATATATATATATATATATATATATATATATATATATATATATATATATATATATATATATATATATATATATATATATATATATATATATATATATATATATATATATATATATATATATATATATATATATATATATATATATATATATATATATATATAAATAATCTTAAATAATTATAGGAAAAAATAAAATTTTAACAAATGTAAATGTAAAATTTTAGATATAAATGCAAAATTGGAAATGATTTACTTATTTATAAAACGAACAATAATCATATAGATTTAATTATATTAAATAATCATAGAAAAAGAAGAAAAAATTTGAACCGTGATATGAAGAAAAAATAATATATAAAAATATTTTTTATTTATTTTTAATAATGATTATTTTGGGAGTGATCGGTAAGATAAAAAGTTAATTATCTATACAAATTTAAAATATAAAAGTCAATACTGATTTTTAAAAAGTTAAATTACCCAAAAATATAAAAGCATCTACTATATAAAAAAACATGTCAATTTGAGAAAAAAATAATTTTTTTTTAAATACAAATGCAAAATTTTAAATGAACTATTATTAAAAAATAAAACGTATGTACAATATGTATACGAATGCAGTGTTGGTGTTAAAAACGGTGTTAACTTATTATTTTTTATTTAAAATATAAGTGTAAAATTTAAAATAAATTACTTAATTGTAAAATGAACAATAATCATATAGATTTAATTGTACTAAATAATCATACAAAAAAAAGAAAAAAAATATGAGATAGAGAAAAAATAATTTAAAAATAATTTTTTTCTCTTAAGTTAAAATAATAATTGATTAAATTAAAATATATCTCGTGTTGATAGTGACCTATGAGATTAACTCTTTTTTTTTTTTATTAAAATCAAAATAGGCAAGCTAGAGGAGCACAAAAGTGAAATAAAATATCATCTTTTATTATGTTAGTGATTCGTGTTTACATTAATATCATTTAAATTACTATTCTTCATAATTAATAATTAAATATGATCATTTTGTTAAAATATTTGAAGTAACACAATCATCAACAAACTAACTACTACATAAAGCATTATAGAGGAGCACACAAGTCTCACATGAACTTTTACCTATCTAATTTTATTTAGAGAATTCAATATCTTCTTGTAAGTGTGAAAAAGTTTTACATAAAATTTCAATTACAACTTACTGCTTAAATATTTGTAAAGAATTCCTGATAAAATATGATTTCATATACGTATTTTTAAACTCTTCTTTTTCTATCTTCATTTATAGGACAACTTTCAAGGTAAATCTGATGCAATTTATAGAACAATTTTATGAGGATGGATATAATATTATTGGATTCTGCTCCTAAAATATAAGTCATTCTTTTAGAAAATTATATGCACAACACGAGAAGGATTTGGGGATCAAAAGCAGAATAAAAAAGAAAAGAAACACACAACAAAAAGTACAAAGCTATGTCATTTTATTGAAGAGAACTAAGATTCCAAAACAGAAAAGAAAATTATACACATGACTTTGTGTAAAAAAATTAACCTCTGTCTTGCCTGCAATTTAACACCAGAAGTAGTAAACATAAAACACCATTTCCATACATTTTAGAAATATTATAATAATAAGAAATAAGTATACAACGGTTTAACAGAAGACAATGATAATATTCACGTGTTGAATAGGTACTTGTTTTTGTTGATAGAAATGTCATTATAAATAATAGAATTATACAAATTTGTATATGTCTTAAGATACATCTTATATATATTTTAAGAATAAATGATAAATAGATCCACCTACATTAAACTAAGTCTTAGTTAGGGTATTTATTTGGTATTTTAATACATTTTGTATATTTTATCAATTATTTCTTTTTTATTAATCATTTAAATATTTCTTTTATTAGTTATATTTTATTATTTTTGTGATTGGTTCTAGTTTGGATACACTTGAGTATTACTTTGTGACAAGTCCCCCAACCTATTTGGATCTTGAGTGTTGATAGGTTGAAAAACCAAATCCACCAAAATGGATGAATGATATTAATGATATTTGAAACCCTAATTTCATCTGAGGCATTGGTTACACTGTGATTTTCCTTTCCCTCTTCATCTTATCCCCTTTCTTCCTTCCTATTGATTGGTTTTTAATGGCTCAAACTTGATATTTGCAAGCCCAGGTATGGTTATGTTTTTAGCTATGGCCAAAAACATTGATGGCTCATTGTTAGGAGGATTTGATTCTATCAATCCTTTAATGAGTCTTCATTAACTTTGACCTATGTTAAAGACTCAAACCATCATGAATCATATCATTTGGAATTCTCCCTTTCATCTTTTATTTGATTGATTCTCAGTGGTTCAAACCTCGTGTTTGTAAGCCCAAGGGTGATTAAATGTTGAGCTATAACCAATAACCTTAAAAGCTCATTATTAAGAGGCTTTGATTATATCAATCCTCTAATGAGTCTTCATCAATTTTGACCCAGGCTCAATATTCAAATCGTCATGGATCACTCTTCTAAAGATCATTCAACCCTCAACTATTAATCACTAACTTCTAACCATTGACCATTGACTTTACTTTATGCATTTATTTTATATCATTTATCTTTAAGCATTTACATCTCATGCTATTTTCCTTTTGTTCACTTGAGTATTTACTTTCTGTCTTTTTTATCTTTGCTCACTTAAGCTTTATTGTCTTTTGCAAATATACTTAATAATCAACTTGGACATTAAAAAATATTAAGGTTACTTGGACTATCTGGTTATTATCCATGACACTTTGAAGTTATGGATTCTTGAGACTTAGGATTAGTAGCCCCAAGACTTTGGACTTTGTGACCTTTGGTTGATGTTTTTATGAAGTTGTTCTGAAGTCTTTGGGGGTTTACTCCAAAGCATTGGTTTGGATTTTTTTCTGTGTGCAAGTTATTCTGATTTCTATGCTTTGTCTATGATTGGGAATTCCTTTGTATACAGTTGTTACTCTGGCCAACTTTTTATTAGTGAAGACTTTGCTTGATTCTTAATTCATCTGAAGCTTGGTATTCATATGAGGTTTAATATTATGCTTGTTTGGTTTTAATCCAAAGGATGAAATTCTACACTGACTTCTTTATGTCAAATGTTGACTTCTTATTGGTTAGACTGTTCTTTCCTTAGCTTTTACTTTGTGTATATAGGGTATCCTCTTCATCTCCTCCTATCTTCTTTAATTTCAAAGTCTTCTCCCTTGTTTTCAAATCTCTTCTTATTTTTTCAAACTTGAACCATTTTCATAATAAACTTAGACTTAGGTCCATGCATTTTCAAAAAATATTTTCTTAATCAAACCTTTTAATCAATTTAATCATACTTTGATACCTTTCTTAAGACTAAAAGTCATTAACGTCATTCAAACCATTTTGCCACTTTGCCTTTTTATTTTTAAAATCTTTTCTCAAAAGATTAGACTCTTGTTGATCATGTAGTGATGCAAACTACTATACTTCTACGATATATAGTGAAGTCAACCATTTTCCACCTGGGTGTTAAGTGATGTATTGTTGATTTTAAATCAAAGACTATGTCCTCCACTTTGAGATGACGCAAATGCTCATTTCTCATAATTTTGGGTAGTAAGTATGTTTTTTACTCGGATATGACAATGATGTCTCTTCTCTTAAAATTAACCAACACACATGTGTTTTAAATTTTTTTAGGTGAACTACGAGTACCCTGATCCCCTATTGCACGAAAGATGGTACGTAGGCACTAAAGGTTTGCAACTGCGGTGAGTGTAAAAATTATAAAAAATATTTCTTTTCTCATCCCCACCATCTTATTTTTTATACACATTTTATAGCCAAAATACACAGATTTTCAAAGAGGTTTCTGCGGAATACCGTAAATATTTATAATGCTAATACATTTCCTTTATACATAATCAACTCCCGTACCTAGATTCTCCCCCCTTACTTTTGGGGTTTATTTGCTCTTTTCCAATTTCCTTTAAAAACAATAAAGCGCAGTAACGATTTTTATTTAATTTATACGAGTTAAGTCAATCCAATAATTTAGTCTCAACAAATCTATATCCACCTATTCCAACTCATAACACACTTTAACATGCGTGCCTCCCTCGAAAGTCACTCATTTAAATCCAAATCAATTCATTATCTATTTCTCTCTTAAACATCATTATCTCTTCAATTACATCTAAATTTATTCTTCTCTAAAAAATAGAGTATCATAATCTTTCGTAATACAATCTACCAATATATCTCTAAACAATAATGTATGGGAAATACCACAAGTTCAAAATGCACTAAGTTATCTTAACTAATCAAACATTTAATTTAATCTAGAACATGATTTTTTATGCATCTAAAAGATTCTATCCTCACTAAAAAAAGATCCAACCCCTTTTTCACAAGTAGTGTGAAAGACAAACAATGTGAAAATCTTCATATTCACACAAGTGTGGGGACCAAAGAATTGACATAACGATGTTTTAGTAAACTTCACAATAAAGGAACATAAATAAACACACTTGTGTTTATCATAAAGGAACATAAACTTCACAATTACTGTTCGTTTTTTTTTTTGCTATTTATTTATAGGGTTGAATCACGCAATGCCAAAATTGGGAAGCTTCACAAACCTAGGACAGAGTGGAGTGGACGATTCATCACTCCACAACTGTCTCTTCCCGTGCCCATTCCTTCACTCTACCTACCACCAACTCCTCTTTCCCTTTTCATCATCACTCTTAATTCTATATCTATCTATATATCTATCTATTCAACTTTCCACACTCTCAAAATTCAACTTTCCCTTCCATTTCTAGGTTTGTTTGTTTCTCTGTAACCCATGTTCATAATTTCCTTTTATTTCATTTTTCTATGCTCATTTTCGTATAAAGATCGTTACTTTGCATCTGGGTAGTGAGGAATTCAACTGCCCTCTTTTAATTATGTTAAATTGGAATTTATTGCATTTGGATTTGAATTTATGAAATTTATATTACTCTCATGTTTTTTTTTTTTAATAGTAATTGATAGTTTTGTGTATTTGATTTTTTGAAGGGAGATGAGAAGGACTGGCTAGGTTTGGAGAATTGAACTTTTTTTTAGGTTGATTTGAATTTGGGTCTGAATTGTGATGAAGTTCCCTTCATTCTGTAATTTGAATGTTTGGAGGGTTTATGGAACTATGAGAGTTTGGACTTTTTTGTTGCTTATAATACTACTACTGAAGAGTGATGTTGCATATTCTAATTACTTGATTGGTCTTGGGAGCTATGATATTACTGGTCCTGCAGCTGATGTTAACATGATGGGGTATGCTAACGCAGAACAGATTGCATCCGGGGTTCATTTCCGGTTAAGGGCTCGCGCTTTTATTGTCGGTGAGCCTAAGGGTAACAGGGTGGTGTTTGTTAATCTTGATGCTTGCATGGGTTCACAGCTTGTTACTATCAAAGTACTTGAGAGACTTAAAGCAAGGTAGGTACATATAATAACTAATCTTCTATCAAGATGTTACAATGATAATTGCTTTTAGAAATGACTATAGATTGACTATGAATTTCGGGTAGCTGTGTGTTTTATAATTGGATTCCCGCGTTCACGTAGTCACCTATTTTAGTTGTTGAATGAAGATTGGGTGGCTCATACTCCATGTTATATCCTGTGAAGCACGGACACTGGAAACACGACCCTGACACACCTTTTTCCAGAGGTGTTGGTGCTGCATAGGTTATATGTTAAAGCTGGCTGATTTGGTGAAGTAGAATATGAGTCGGTAGTATGAGATTGCCCCCATTTTGACGTGTCTGATATCACACTTCGTTTTGTTTGATTGACAGATATGGTGGCATATATACAGAAAATAATGTAGCTATTAGTGGAATTCACACGCATGCTGGTCCCGGAGGTTATCTCCAGTATGTTGTGTATATTGTAACATCTCTTGGATTTGTTCGCCAGTCGTTTGATGTTCTTGTTGATGGCATTGAGAAAAGCATTGTTCAGGCCCATGAAAATCTCCGCCCTGGATCGATTTTTGTCAATAAAGGTAAGAAAGACTTAGCATGCGTTCTCTTTCCTTTCTCCCTTAGGTATTTATAATGAATAAGTTCAATATTGATAATTATGGGTGTTTTGCATACTGTTGAAGCGTGTCTGAAAAAGATGAAAAACTATAGGAAGCAAGTTGCTTACTTTTAGGTTTAGTTTTACATTTTGTGTTCAATTGCATGTTACATGGTTATAAATGTTATCTTTAACTTGCAGGTGAGATTTTAGATGCTGGTGTTAATCGCAGTCCTAGTGGTTATCTCAACAATCCTGCTGAAGAGAGAAGCAAATACAAATATAATGTCGATAAAGAAATGTCTCTTTTGAAGTTTGTTGATGACGAATGGGGTCCTGTGGGAAGCTTCAATTGGTTTGCTACTCATGGGACTTCAATGAGTCGTACAAACTCATTAGTTAGCGGGGATAATAAGGGTGCTGCTGCGCGATTTATGGAAGACTGGTTTGAGCGAAAAGGTTCTGTAAGAAAAGATTCTGTTGAATTTGATGATGACAGCTTACCTCGAAGAATTTCAAACATAATTCCCAGTCTTAATAATAATCGTAAGTTTTTTTATGCATTTGGCTGCACGGAAATTCTTCGGTCTTTTCGTTAACATATATAGTATAGCCGTTCTATTGATGTTTTGGTATATGATTTATATTTTCAAATCTCACTTCTCACATAAAATTTATTGTTAAAGACCATGAATTACTGGAACTCGCTGCCTCATTCCAATCTCCTCCTGGCAGACCAGCAACCAAAACTTCGAGTGTTGCTAGACGTGTGAGAGGTGTTCTTAGGCAGGATGGCAAACCTAGATTTGTATCTGCATTTTGTCAATCCAATTGCGGTGATGTTAGTCCAAACGTACTTGGAGCCTTTTGTATAGACACCGGACTACCTTGTGACTTCAATCACAGCACATGTGGAGGGAAGAATGAGCTATGCTACGGCAAAGGACCCGGGTACTTATTTATTGCATGCTCTTTTTTTTTGCATGTAGTTTTTGCAAATTTACATATGTTCTTGCGATTACTAAACTTGTCTCTTGTTGTTGTAACTAATATGGCAGTTACCCCGATGAATTTGAAAGTACACGTATTATAGGAGAGAGACAGTTTAAAAAAGCAGTGGAGTTGTTTAACGTAGCATCTGAACAGGTTAAAGGAAAGGTGGATTTTCGACATGCTTTCTTAGATTTCTCCAAGCTCGAGGTAAATGTTTCTATCGCAGGGGCTTCTAAGGTAGTAAAGACATGCCCTGCTGCAATGGGATTTGGATTTGCTGCTGGAACAACTGATGGACCTGGAGCATTTGATTTTAAGCAAGGGGATGATCAGGTAAGCGATGACTCTATACCATATTCTTATCCATTATCCTAGACTTGAATTCTTATTTATGCTTACTTTTTTGTGTGTCAGGGGAATCCTTTCTGGAGACTGGTCCGCAACTTGTTGAAAACGCCAGACAAGGAACAAATAGACTGTCAGTATCCAAAGCCTATTTTGCTCGATACTGGTGAAATGAAGCTTCCATATGATTGGGCTGTAAGTTACTGGTTTACGCTGAATATTATGTCTTATAGTCTCCAGGCTCAGTTCAGTTATGGCTGAGTAAGAAAAAAAGATGCCAGGTTAATGGTGTAGAGACTGGTTTTAACAACTTGTTCACTTTCAATCAATATGAATATTCGTTTTAGTAAACTTTTTATGATAGAGTATTGCATAGCTTCCATATGCCTCTCCATTTTCTTCTGACGTACAATTTAATTTATGACATTTACTAATTCAGCTTTCTTCCGATGTGTTCCTTTGCAGCCTTCAATACTTCCAATCCAGATCCTCCGAATTGGGCAGTTTGTTATTCTTAGTGTACCTGGAGGTATTACCCTTAATTTCATGTAAAGACGTTAATTTGGAATTTCTGTCGGTTAAATTTTAAAACACCAAGTTTCAGCTATAAATGAGCTTGGTCTAATGATAAGTAATATGTAAAACGGATTAATGAAAATTAGCATATTATACTCGTTTATGCTGAGTATTTTTTTGGGTGCTTCATGCTTGTTGTAATTGTTTAAATTCTGACAGAATTTACAACAATGGCTGGGAGGCGACTTCGTGATGCAGTGAAGACAGTGCTAAGTGGTGACAAAAGCTTTGGTAGCAACATTCATGTTGTTATAGCAGGGTTGACCAATACTTATTCACAGTATGTGACCACATATGAGGAGTACGAGGTGCAAAGATACGAGGTCAGTTATAACTTTTGAGCAAATAGGGTCATGGAACATTTTTAGATTGCAGTAGCAAGAGCAAAGCTCGTAGTCGCGGACCTTTTTTTCAAAACTGTTTTAAGATGAAAATAATGTTTCTTGCATATAACTATTATGTGCAACTTTCTAACTTCAATTTTTCGTGTTGTTAGGGTGCTTCCACGCTTTATGGTCCACACACTTTGAGTGCATACATTCAGGAATTCAAGAAGCTTGCGCACGCTCTCATCAATGGTCAGCCTGTAGAATCAGGCCCTCAACCCCCGGACCTCCTCAACAAGCAAATAGGTTTACTTACACCAGTAGTGATGGACGGAACCCCTCTTGGTGTAAACTTCGGGGATTGCGCCTCTGATGTACCCAAGAATTCCACCTTTAAGAGAGGTGATACGGTATCAGTTACTTTTTGGTCTGCTTGCCCTCGAAACGACCTTATGACCGAAGGTACATTTTCTCTAGTGGAATATCTCCAAGGGAAGGATTCTTGGGTTCCTGCTTACGACGACGATGATTTTTGCCTTCGCTTCAAGTGGTCAAGGCCTTTCAAACTCAGTACTCATAGTAAAGCCACAATAGAATGGAGAATTCCACAGGATGTTGCTCCTGGTGTATACAGAATTAAACATTTTGGAGCTGCAAAGGGTTTGTTAGGGTCAACTCGCCACTTTACAGGTTCATCTAGTGCATTTGTAGTAACACACTAAAGGAAGGGAAGCACACTAATTCAATCTACATGTTTAATGGTCTTAAGAAAGTTATTACTATATATTTTTGGGTTTGTTGTATTCAAGTCTCAAAATACATCCATTAAATCAAAAGGTTGATTTCATCATATGTCATTTGTTTTTCATTATTATACTTTATCTGCTTTCCTTCGTCACAAGTTCATTACAGATAATAATAAATATTTTATTTATATAAGTATTGAATAATACATTTTTTTTTTCAAATTTTAAAAATAATTTTTTTATGGCTATGTTTGAATACTTTAAAACGAATAGAACATGGTGGAATGGAACGAGATAGAGTAAATATTTCATTCTATTATTGAGATGTTTTATGATTGAATGAAACACAGCAATACAGTGAAATTGATTTAAGATTTTATTTCATTTTTTTAAATGTTTTGTAATTAAATGAAACAAAATAGATATTCTGTCCACTATCCAGGTAAGTGATAAAATAAACACACTCAAGAATCAGGAGAAACTAACATGCCATCCTTTCAAGGGTATGTTTTTAGTATTATATCTTTGTGAATCACTAAATTTCAAAAAACACGAATTTTACTTGAAATTTCAAAATTCTGAAAAGAAATTTCAGAATTTTCAAAACATTTTTTTAAAAAAAAAACGGAAATTTTGGAAAAAGAACCGGATTTTTCTAAAATTTCTAAGAAAAATATTGAAATTTTCGAAAAAATATCAAATATTTTTAAAATTCCAGTATTTTTTGTAAAAAAAATTCACGTAATTGAAATTTCTGATATCATATCAGAAATTTAAAATACACTGAAATTTTTGGTATTGAATTTTTTTTTCCAAAAAAATTATCGGAAATTTCACAAAATCTACTAGAAATTTCAACGAGTCTATCGAAAATTTCATCATTGTTTGTAACTCAACAGGGGTAATTCTAGAATATTTTTTTTTGGGATGGCATATTAATTCCTCAGGAACGAGAGATAAGTGATAAAAGAATATATGACAAATCAGTCTTTTGGTGTGGTGGGTTAAACTTTAGGTGTTATGGAGAGCAATTGGACATTCAAAGATAGTATTCTAACGTCCAAGTCAGTGAATGAAGGAAAAATAGTTTTGAAGTGAGAAATGATTGAATACCTAAAATAATATAATTTGGTCTTTATATAGTATGATCGATTAAAATCGTGTGCGTGTCATTCAATGCCTTGTGCGGGTTGCTGTTCGATTAGAGATCCAAGAGTGAGAGATGTCATGAAGGGCGTAATTGTGTGTCATTGATAGGGATGAAGGTCCATCTATTTCGTGCGCCTTCTTTTTCAACACTTTTTATTGGACCTTCTCCATGGGCCTTGCAGGCGGACAATAATAGTTGCCCATATACCCCTGTTCCTACGTCGTTGAACAAGGGTTTTGTCGGATTCGTCTTCAGTCCGACCTATGGTAGAAGAAAATAGAGGAGTCTTGATGGAACATTGATTTCCTTGAGAAAATGTGCATTAAATGTCTCCGTCAAGATTAGCAACGCTTCACAAGCACATCTCATTATGTGTCCCAACGTCTTACGGTAATAATTTGTTCTAGTACTAGGGCGTTTGAGTATTTCTCGAATAATTTGTGATGAGACATCGACTGATGGTTGTGTAATTCACGTTTCCCAATGTTGTGGATCACACTGTCCCATTTTTCGTCATTGGTGATTCTTTAAGAGCTATTTTCTCGCGTTTGTAACCTCTTTTGTCTTTACAATTCTCATTCCTTCAGCCATTACTTATGTTGTACTTTTGCCACCTATTATGGCAGAGAATGTATCATGTAGATCATTAAGTTCATGTTTTTTCAGGATAACGCCCGAACCCGAATCCAAACTTTTCTTTTCATACTTGCTTGCTTTATTAGGGTTTCTAGTGAGGAAAGATATGATGGGTTCTTAGTCTTTTTCTGTTTTGTACTTTGGTGAATTCTCTTGCTATAAATGAACTTTGGTGGGGGTGCACGGTTTGTCTTTATATCGACCATGTGCATCCACCTATGGTCATTTCTTTTATGTGTTGACAACCTCTTTTGATATGGACAACTCTCAACTCAGAGTCTGAAAGGATATAGGAAATAAATTTGTCGTATTTGTGGATCAAGAGAAAATGGATATCATTATTTTCTTTTGTCGGTGAAGGTGGTTTGGAGCATGCATTAACTAAAGTGGGTCCCTCCTTAGAGTGAGGGAGTGTTTCCTCTCGAAGGGGATAAGAGGATCTAGAGCAAGTATGATGGGTGTGTCATTCCTCTCAATAAATGTTTGTTTTATTTGATAGGTTTTCACCTCTCCTTTAGAAACTTTTAGGTGGTCGTTTTAAACTATTTAGTAGTTGCTCCTTCATTACTACACCCAGTGAGTTGGGCTTACATCAGTCTTCCAGCACTGGTGCCAATACAAGAAAGGTGTGTCATCTCTAACACTCTTTTCCCACCTTTTAAAGGTTAACAAACTGTTGATTCATCCCGGGGTCAAGGTTTAACCTCTCTTCGAAAAGGTACCAATATGCTGAGGTTTATTTCCATTCTACCGCAATACAAGTTTGCCTATTGCTAGAGTGTAAATGTTAACATTGTCCATAAAAAACACCTAACAAACAAACATTTTCAAGATGAACTACAAAGCTCTGATTTCCCTATTTCACTTCGGGGATACATAGACACGAGGTTTTGAAACCGAGGCGAGCTCAAAAATAAAAACTTTTTATTTTCCCCAATTAATTCATTCATGCATTTTTAGCAAGTAAGCTTTAGATATACACACTCTTTTATTAGAACAATCAAAGTGGATCCTATTGATTACAACGAATGAGAGGGGTGCTGTTGTACCCCAAAATTTGCCCTCCCATATTCTTCAAAGTTTTGACAAGCATCATCTCAATTTGCTCAAGTCTACTCAAGGGTTGCACAATTCAAACACCCTCCTAAGCCAGTCAAATTAGGGTTTTGGTTCTTGCAAGGAACTTGAGGTTTTCAAGGGCTCAATCAAGTCACATATGCCTATACACATTGTCAAGCACCTACATGCCAAGTTTCAAGGCTCACAAGGTCAAGTTGCATAGTCAAAAACCCTAATTGCCTCACAATCAACTGTAGGGGTAAAATGGTCATTTGGCAGTCAAAAGTCAAAATTTTTGGTCAACATCTTATTTTGAAGCCACAATCATCATTTGGTCAAATCTTGACCATGATTTCACAAGAATGGCTCAAAAATCATCAAGATGCCAAAAGTTTCTATTTTGGGACAGCTGAAAAGTCAACTGTAACTTGACCAAGGCATAACTTTTTCATGGTTCATCAGAAAAATCCCATCCAATACTCACCTTGAAGGGGAAGACATTTCCTACAACTCATCTTCACATTCCAAGTCCAAGAAATGCTCTCACAAAAAGTTATCAATTTCAACATTATAGGTCATTTTCAAAAGTCAACAAAAAGGCATTTTAAGTCAAAGACCATAACTTGAGATTTGCAAATCAAAATGACATGGGACCAAAGGCATTGGTTAGAGGACTTCAAGACCTTTCCAAAATGTCCAAGAACATGTTCATATGATCAGAACTGAGCAAGATATGCATTGGAGAAGTTGGGAAATTTTTGTGAAATGGCCAAAGTCAACTATCCTTGAAACTTCAATTTTTGACAAAAGGGCCCACTTTTTTCCACTTGGTTCAGCCTTGTCATGCCACCCACGTGTCCCATGACCCATTACAAGACCAAACATTTATTTTTTCATTTTTTATTTAATTTTTATGGATTTAATTCACTTTAATCCATAATAATTCAAATAAAAATCAAAAAATGAGTTAAATGGTATCTTTGAGTTTTGAATGACTTTTATATGTCATGAATCACATACCAAATTCGTGCCAAGCCTATTATGAGCATGAAATTCAAATTTTGAACAAAAATGGCAAGTTTCTTTAATGGTGGTTATGGAAATCTCAAAACATAATTGCATTGGTTAAGAGCTCATAATAGTGACTGATTCTCATTCAAGCATATATGTATAAGCCTTGCATACAGGAAGCAGGACCTAGAAACCTCTGAAACGACAACCCTAGCTCTCTCAAATTTTCCAAAAAGTTGACAAATTCGAATTTGTTTTTTTAGCAAGTTTCAAGGAGTTTTAAGCATTCAATCGTGTCCCTGGGCATAGCAGCAATCATTCCCAACTCTTACACGAAGCAAAATCATCCCAGATCGTGCTCCCTAGCTTTCACCGTTTTGGTAAATTTCTTGAATTCGTTTTTCGTATTTCATGCATCATTAACTGTTTTTGATTGTTTGTGTGAACTCGGGATACCTATTAGAATGTGTTTGATGCATAACATGCAAGCTCTAACGCAGGAGTAAGGACTTGCCATTGTTAGGGCAGTTTTTGTTATCTTCTTCGAAACTCACCGTACAGTCGTTTTCAGGTCAAAACAATGGCACCATTGAATCCGCAGGGGTCGAATTAGGGTGATAAGGTCTTTCTTTTGCTTTGATTTTTCCTATTTTGCAGGATCGACCATTGTGCTTGCCGGAGAAGACGACCGGAGCTAGGGCTCTGGCGTCGTTGACTGATTTGGACTCTGGCGTGGCTGGCGTGGCACGATAACGCATCCTGATTCGCTCCCATGTTACACCTGGGCCCCACGCGTGTTGACTGTGTTTGAAAATTCAAATATGCCATGTTTTCACTTTTAACCCATTGATTGCAGATTACAAACACCAAAGACAGCTAGCTCAGTTGGCAACGTGTTGGTTGATTTCTCCAGAGGGCATGAGTTTGATTCTTGGCCCTGGCATTTTCTCTTTACCATTTGTCATAACTAACATGTTTTCTCTATTTTCTTTTTAATATTTTCATCCTAATTTAATTTATCTTTAAATAATTTTCTCATGCATTTAAAAAATCACAAAAATATTTTCCTTTTGCATTTTAATCAGAAAAATGTTTATTTAATTTTTGACATTAAAATTAA